AAAAAAAAAAAAAAAAAAAAAAAAAAAAGAAAAAGAAAATATTTCTTTTAAACAAATAACGTTTTTATATCTTTTTTCCTACTTGATTCATTTTTTTGGGTTACATGGCAATTTTCCTCTCTTTTATTTTGATTATTTTTCATCTCTTTTTATTTTATATTTAAGTGTAGATAATATTATTTTGTTTCTTTTTTCTTTTTTATTATTTTTTTTTATATCAATTTTTTTATGAAAACTTCAATCATATAGCAAAATAATATTGAATTTTAAAAAAAAAAAAAAAACATTTTTAAATTAAAATTATTTAAAAACTAATGCTTTTTTTAGTAACGTTTAAAAAAATAAAAAAAAAAAAAAAAAAAAAAAAAAAAAAGAATAAAATAAAAATAAAGAAAATGATACAAAATAAAAAATAAAAATAAAGGAAAATATATATATATATATATATAAATTTATAACATTACTAAAAATTTACATAAAAACAACTTTTTTTTTTTTTTTCTATGGTAATTATGTGGAATTTTTTTAACTTTAACAATATTGATGATAAAATAAGAAATTGTAAAAACGAAAAAGAAATTTACACTCATGAAGATTTAAGGTATTATAAAGTCTTATTCTTAATATGTTCTATTAAAAATATATTTTTACTTTTCCTTTTTTGTATTTAGTCCATTTTTTTTTTTTTTTTTATATTTCTTTTTTCATTAAGATACTACTTTGAAAAATTAGTAAAAATAAATCTAAATAATGTTAATGTAAATAATTTCATTGAGCTAATAAGGAAAATTACACAAATAACAATATGGGGAGATAAACATGATGATCAAATTTTTCAGTAGGACAAAAAAAAATAAAAAAGATAAAATAAGTGAAAATTTTTTCAAAATATATTTTGTTGTTTATATGAAAAAAGTAATTAATTTGATTAAATATATTCCCTCTTTTTTTTTTTCAAGATATTTTTGTGAAGATAATATTTTCAATCATTTTATTTATTTACTTAAACAAAAAATAAATAAAAATATTAGAATTCAGATATATCAGTCATTAACTTTATTAATTCAAAACTTACAAAAGGATATTTCATTATGTAAAAACTAAAATAAAATAAAAAGGAAAAATAAAATTTTGATTATAAATATATTATATAAATATATATATTATATATATATAAAATATATCATTTAATATAATTCAACATAACAAAATGGTATTTATGTTATTATTGTTCATATTATTTACAGATTATATATTTAGTAACAATAAGATAAATAATCTAATTTATACAACCTTTATTTATCAAGATGATGAAATAGTGCCATATTATATATCTATGATTAAATCTATCTCATTTTTTTTAAATTATCATACATCAAAATTCTTTTTTAATGAAGTAAAAAATTTTAATTTTTTCTCATTTATATAAATAATTATAATTTTTTTTTTTTTTTTTTTTTTTTTTTTTATATATAAAGAAGAGCATGAAATTCCCTTTATATACAGAATCATTAAGACTATACAAGTTTAATGATATAATTACTAGAACATATATTAAAAATATCATCTTGAATATTTTAAAAAGTATTTTTTTTTTTTTTTTTATTTTACATATTTCATATTTTTTTTTTTTATAAAATATTTTAATTTATTTATTTTTATTTTTTTTTATATATATATATATTAGTTGAAGATGAAGGTATAGAAAATTTGATTTTATTGCGATCGTCTTTTTTTACTATATTAGTATGCTATATGAGAAACAATATGATAAAAATGAATAAAGTGTATACAAAAATAAAAGAATCAAAAAAATTAAAAAATCTTTTTAATAATTATTTAGATGAAATTGATGATGTTTTATATTTTTTTGAAGATATGTTTAACTGTAAAAAAAAAAAAATTAATGATATGCTAATAGTTAAACTTTTAATTTATTTTTATTTTCCAATTATTTCATCATTTCATAATTCAATATATTTTGGTGGAGTAAATTCTGAAAATAATAATATTTTTTATAATTCTGGAAAAACAGAAGAAAATTTATTTAACAAAAGCGATTCATTTTCAACTAATGAGAAACTAAGTCACGGTAGTATTGATTACGTGTATTTCACAAATCAAGAAAATGTTAATGATGAAAAAGAAAAAAAAGAAATATGTAATACAGATGAAAAAAGTGAAAATGAGAAAAAAGACAAGAATGAAATAAATTATAATTGTGTCAACAAAAATATAGAAGAAAATAAGGAAGAAGAAAAAAACAATCAAAATGAACAAAACAATCAAAATGAACAAAACAATCAAAATGAACAAAACAATCAAAATGAACAAAATAATCAAAATGAACAAAACAATCAAAATGAACAAAACAATCAAAATGGACAAAACAATCAAAATGAACAAAACAATCAAAATGAACAAAACAATCAAAATGGACAAAACAATCAAGGTTCAAAGAAAAAAGAGATAAATATTAATGACAATATTACAAAAAATGAAAAGAGTAATGATGAAATACAAAAAGATGAGAATAACAAAAAAGAAGATAATTTTAATTTTTATAAAGATGAAATAAAAAATTTACAATTGGATGGTATTCCTTTTTTAAAATTAATAAATAGTAACTTCAAAAATTGCAAAAATTTTGACTTTTGTAAAAGTTTACCTTCTTCAAATGAATCTTCTATAAATTCTAGTATGAGTTATATAGAAAATAAGAAAACAGAAAAAAATTATTACAAAATAAAAAAAGAAAAAAGAAATGATAATAATTATGAATTTCTATATTTTAAAGGAAAAAGTAGTGAAAAAAAAGAAAATTTTTCAGAAAAGAATGATAATGAAGTAATTAAAAATTCTACTGATAGTGAAAATATAAATATAAAAAAAAAAGAAGATAAGAATAATAAAGATCTAAATTTTATAAAAGAAAATGAATTAGAAGATTTTTATTTTAAAAAAAGAACAAGAAAAATATTTATTCAATTAAATTCAAGAAACGGAATATTACATAAAAAAAAAAAAAAAAAAAATCAGAATATTAATAATTACTTTTTTTTAAAAAATGATGAAGATATGTTTGAAATAAAAAAATTAATAAATAACAATAAATTTATAAATGAGATTAAAAAAAATAGTCTTTATGATTTATGTTATCTTGAAATTCCTACATTACAAAAAAAAATTACATTTGATGAAAATGTAAATAATGATATTTATAATTATTTATTTAATTTTAATTGCTTTACTTTAAACGTGTTAAATTATTACAATGGAAAATTAAGTATAACTAATATATTCTATAACATTTTTAAATTAGGTTTATATTTTCATCCAATATGTTATGTTAACTCTTTTAAAAATTTTTCTTTATTATATAATTATATTATGAATAGCTGTTTATCTTTATTTATTCTTATTAGATCACTAAATATTTTAAAAAATGAGAAAATAAACAATATTATTTATTCACTCATATTTGATGAGCATATTAATGCATATTTTTTACATAAAATATTATCAAACGAATTAAATGAACCATATTTTTATAATTATTTTTTTGATCCTCACAAAAAAATGAATATTAATAAAACTATTAGTGATGATATTGAATTTGAGTATATTTATTCTTCCTCAGTTGATTATTTACTACCTGAATACAACAAAGAAGAAGAATCCTTATATTTAAATTTAATAAACAGTTATTACAACCAGACAAATGAAAAAAATGTAAAATATAACAATAAGGAAAAAGGAAAAAATGAAAATGAAAATGAAAGAGATGAAAAAAAAGAAGATTTATTTGAGCAAACAGAAGAAAAATTAAAAATAAGTAATATGAAAGATAAAAATAATGAAATAAAAGAAAATATAAAATTAAATGGAATGGATAAAAATAATGAAATAAAAGAAAATATAAAATTAAATGAAATAAAAGAAAATATAAAACTAAATGAAATGAATGAAAAGAATGAAATGAAAGAAAATATAAAACTAAATGAAATGAATGAAAAGAATGAAATAAAAGAAAATATAAAATTAAATGAAAAGAATGAAATGAAAGAAAATATAAAATTAAATGAAATGAAAGAAAATATAAAATTAAATGAAATGGATGAAAAGAATGAAATAAAAGAATCGAAAATAAAAGAAATAGAAAAAAGAAAAGAAATAAATAATAATTTTTCAAGAAATGAAAACGATACTGAGAGTTATAATAAAATAATGAAATATAACGAGCTGAGCAATCCAATACTTTTAAATTTTTTATTACTTATAAATATACAAAAAGAAAAAAATATTAAAAAATGTGAAAAAGAGAATATTAAAAAGAAAATTTCAGATATATACTTATTATTAAGTATTCAATTAATTTATAACTATATTAAAGATTCAAATGATGATTTAAATAATATCCATATAAATTTTTTTAGAATATCTAATTATAATTTTATATATGTTTTTTGGGACATTGTAAATATTCATATAAATAATTTATATTTAAGAATTATAACTTTAAAATTATTAATTAATTTGACCTTATTATACATTAAGAAGATATCTGATAAAAATATATGTATAAATTTTTGTTCTCCACTTTTAAATTTAATAAAAAAGGTTTACAACAATATTATAAAATAAAAAGAGAAATAATTCAAAATATAAAATTCCCTTTTTGTCTAATTTAAAATATAATTTATTATAAAATTCCTTTTTTTTTTTTTAAATAGATTAAGAAAAAATTAGCAAATAAAATTAAAGATATAATTAACAAAATGGATTATAAAGTGTGTCAGATTTTTTGGGTATTTTTAATTTTTATTAAATTTTTTTTTATTTTATATATAAATATTTTTTACTTTAAATTTTTTTTTTTATTTTCTTTTTTTTAGGAGGAATATAGAATTTATGAAAATTGTTGCCAAGAAAAAATTAATTTATTTTTTGATTCTATGTTAATTAATATTATTAATGAAATTGATGGTTATAAAAAAAAAAAAAAAAAAAAAAAAAAAAAAAAAAAAAAACATATATATATATATATATTTTAATATTTATATATATTTAATAAATTTTTATTAGAATCAGGTGAAAACAATTTTTTATGTTACCCTGTTTCCCAAATAGAAATATACCGACGAAATGTTCATGTATACCAATTTAATTAATTTAAAAAAAAAAAAAAAAAAAAAAAAGACAATTTTTTTTTTAATTTTTAATTATTTTTAATCATTAGATATATTAGCAATTTTTATTTATATATATATTTTTTTTTTATCTTATATTAGGCTTTATTTGTATTAGATGGAATAACAAAAAAATTACAGAAAATAATCTCAAATACCAAAAAGTTAGAAAGATAAAGATAAAGATAAATAAAAATTTAATTTCATAATTTATTTTATTTTTATTTTTTTTAGTGAAGAATTAAACTTAATACCATTTGATTTTAATAACTATCATATAAAGGCTTTAATAGATATAAAAAATAAAAACACAATTAAGTGCTACTTAAAAAATAATAATAAGATTGTAATATATTTTTATAAAACTCTTTTTTCTTTATTCTTTTTTTTAATATTATTACCTATACATTTTTTTTTTTTTTTTTTTTTTTGTATATTATTATTTTTTAGTTTAATTGTTATTATATAGAAGATAAAAAGAATTTTTTGTTATGTATACCTTCAAATACTCATGTGAATCAAGCATTAATTATTTTTAGTTATCCTTTAATGTTAATTGATTTATATATAGACAAAAATGATAATAAGAAATTAATTATACATGCGTATAGTTATAATAACGAAGAAAATAATATGAGTGATTCCAGTCTTATGAATTTTAATAATTCCGAAAAAATTTTTAATAATAATACTAATGATAATAATTATAGTAACAATGTGAGATATTATAGTTCAAATAATGATGATAACATATTAGATGAACATGTTAAAATTCACAAAAATGATTATGTTTTAAATAAATATAGTTCAACTTATAAAAAAAATAAAACGTAAAAAAAAAAAAAAAAGATAAATAAAATAATGAAATAAAATAAAATAAAATGAAATGTGTCTATTATATATTTATATTATAATATGTAATAACTATATCCATTTTTTTTTTTATTACATTAATGTTTTATGTTTTTGTCTCTTTATAGGATAACTAATATGAAAAAAGAATGGTGTTATAAAGAACTAAATTTTATGAAGAATATTTTAAAATTAAATTTTTATGATACTACTAGATCACTCATTGTATACGTATGTCTTTTTTTTTTTTTTTTTATAACTTTTATATAAATATATTTCTTTTAAAAAATTGATTTTTATATGTATTATCATATTTTTATTTTATTAGTATATATTTTTTTTTTTCTTTTTTATCATTCAGAAAGAATTAAAATCAGGTATAAAAAACATTAATGACAAATATAAGAAAAAGCTAGAAGAATATCTTAATTCATTTTAACTTTATCATATGTTATTTCAAAAAAATTTTTTTTGTTAATTTTTACCATTACTTTTTTTTATTATAGTATCCATTTTATACCTTCTTTTTACATGTGGAAGAAAAATTTTTTATTTTTAAAATTATAATATTTATTAATATTTTCATTATATTACAAATGTGTATAAAAAGCTTCTATATTTTAAAATAATACTTTTTAGAATATTTTAATGAAATTTATTCCTTTGTTTTGTTTTTATTTATTTATTTTATTTTATTTTATCTAATCTCTTTTTTTTTTTTTTTTTTGTAAGTTATTAAAAAAGATACAGCTTAAAGATATTTAAAAAAATAAAATAAATAAAATTTTTGTTTTCATATTTTTTTA